ATCTTGACATTACACTGGAGGATGGAGGTGATCGCATGACAAATGTTGTTTCGCTGTTCTATTTACAGTTACCAAGAACAATGTGTTAATATTGATAGACTAGTTTGTACCTGATAGTCCAAGATCTCAGGTTTGTGATTTGCTGCAGGTTCCAGTGTTTGTAATTCTCCCTAAATCTTGATAGACTCTTAGATTAGTGAGATGATCTAATCCTTTGAACCTCTTGGCATTCTGTTAACTGTTGGAAGTGTTATACTTCATTACAGTGTTTCCCATTTATCCATCTTTTTGTTCCATTTTTTTTTTTGTTGCAGGTCCTTGTACTTGAAGCAAAGGACAGAATTGGAGGGCGAGTTTGGGATGATAAAACTTTGAAGGGAATCATTGTAGGAAAAGGGGCACAGATTGTCAATGGCTGTGTCAACAATCCAGTGGCTTTAATGTGTGAGCAAGTGGGTTTGCATTTTTATTGATGAATGCTTATGGCCGTGTAAATCCCTGTAATCATAGAACTCTGTTCATTTCAGAGAGTTGTTTCTGAGAAGCTTAGGAAATTCTCTCAGCTGAATTCAATTTCAGAGGAGCTGAGGAGGCACATTCCAGTGGTAGAAGAAAGCCCAAATCCAAAAGAGTTGGAACCAAAAATATTAGCATATTTTACCACAACACTCTTGTTGCCATTAGCTAGGCATTAGGAGAAGCTTGTCAACATTTTGTTGTTGTTGTATGTTGTTTCAAGTCAACTCCAACTCATGATTTTCTTGGTTAAGTTTATTTAAACAAGGTTTACCATTACCCTCTTCTAAAGCTAAAAGAGTGTTACCTGCCCAAACTCACTCAGTGAATTTCTGTGGCTGAGCAGGGATGTGAACCTTGATTCGCAGAGTCATAGTTGAACAGTAACCACTATGGAGTGCAATGCTGGATTTCTCTTTCAGCTTCTTAGAATGGGGGAAAACCCATACAAAGGCTTGGAATCCATACATCATTTGGAAAACACCAAGTGATGGGGTTATGAGAAAGGAGGTGGGATTATCTGATGGGAACCTAAAAAGGGTTGGATTCTATTCCAAGGTCAAAGGTTTCCTACCTGCTGGCATAGATGTATTGAACATCTTCAGAACAGTAGCTTTTCTGGGCATAAAAGAGGTAAAACGAAATAACAGGAGATGCTTGCTGTTTTTAGAAGCAAGAGTATAGATTGTATATTGGCCTGTATTAGAATAGCTTGGATTACAGCTTTCTCCTCTATTTTTTTTTAAAGATGGGCATTAAAATGCATAAAATTGGAGAGAAGTGTGACCTGATCCAGGAAGGAGGAAGGATAACTGACCCTACTATAGATAAGCGGATGGACTTCCATTTCAATTCTATTCTTGACGTTGTCGCTGATTGGAGAAAAGATAAAAACCAGCATCAGGATATTCCTCTTGGAGGTAAGGGGACAGCTTTAAAAACTGTCATGAGGTCAAAACAGCTGCTGGAGAAAGTAATCCCAGGAAATTGTACTTATTTATTTGTGTTCCTGCATTTCACTGGGGAAAAATTACAGCTCTTTCAAAGTGTCATTTGGAGCACATGGATTGAGTCTCCCTAAATCCCACACAGTGGCCTGAATGTAAAGTCGTAGGCTTTCATGGCCGGCATCCACAGTTTTTTGGGCTGTGTGGCCATGTTCTAGAAGAGTTTCTTTCTGATGTTTTGCCAGCATCTGTGGCTGGCATCTTCTCTGAAGATGCCAGCCACAGATGTTGGTGAAACGTCAGAAAGAAACTCTTCTAGAACATGGCCACACAGCCCAAAAAACCCACAAAAAACAATGGCCTGAATCCTTTTGGTATAGTTTACAGTTGGCTGCACTTTTCACAGGGTTGCCTAGAAATGGTGAGGGAAGGCAGGCAACATTTTTAGGCTCCAAGCAGCCTATTTATTGAGTGCTTTCCTTCTTTCATATCCTCAGCACCTGAAGCCTTTTTCTTTCTGTTACCACTGTGTAGGTGAGCATAGTGGCACAGTGTACTGCACCACCAAAATTCTAGCCACTGTGTTAAAATTGCATTATAGTTATCAAATTCAGTATAATCCTATATTTGTTTGTGTTCACGTTTTATTTGAAATGCAACATTTTAAACTTTACATTTGGTTGTTTTATCTTCCTTCTCTCTAAATATGGGTTTTTACATCCATTGATTTTGCACTGTTTTTAAAATATGTTGCTGGAGTAGACATGGTGATTTACATGCAGTAGTGAATTTTCATGTACCGTGTATGACAGATACCATCTGAGAAAGGGCATTCTCCTTCTCTGTTTCACAAGAGTGATTCATCTTCTAAGATGGTACCTATCATGAGGCCTACAAGTTAGATTTTAAGACAAAGCAAGAATGCATTTCTATTATAGTTCTTTTCAGTGCAGCATAAAGAGCAGGCTGGGTCGTTGAAAATAAAAGGCACTTTGTGTTGAAAATAGAAGGCACTTCGCATTAGAGAGATTGAAATAGAAGAGTGCTTAGGGGAGCTGGCTACTGATAGCCTGCCCATTTATATTAAAAATTGTTGACCTGTGATGGGCACTTTTGAGGTCTATTGATTTCAATTGAAAATATGCTTAACATGTGGCTTAACTCTTGTTAAAGGCTCTTTAACATGTGTTAAAGACATAATATTTATAAATATTTTTTTCCAGAATGACTTCACTTTTAGAAAACCAAGAATAGTATGATGAAAGCAGAATTTATGAATTAGGCTGCTGAAAAAGGAGGAATGTATAATAAATACGTAATTATTGCTGACCACTGAATCTGTGTATCACTTGCAGATAAAATCCAAGAGATCTATAAAGTTTTTATTCAAGAATCTGGTATCCAGTTCAGTGAACTGGAAGAAAAGGTCCTTCAATTCCACATCAGTAATCTTGAATATGCCTGTGGCAGCAACCTCCATGAGGTGAGCATGAGATGTTTTGCTCATCATGACAGAAACATCTGGTTAACACACACACACACACACACACACACACACCATAAAACAGAGTCCAGATCAGCTAATTTATTACTAAATGTATATATGCTCTAGGTTATAAATTCTTCTGGTATTCACTAAACATGGAAATCCAGTCCAGTTGGCAATGCCTGCGGATCTGAAAATAAGTGTGAAAAGGCTACATGAGGTTAGTTAGTGGCCTAGCTTCCTATAGCCAATAAACAGAAGAATATGTTAGCATTTTCATCTTATTTTAGCATTTAATATTACATGTGATGCATGCGAGTATATCCTAGCTTTATTGCAAGATATTAACATTTTGTCTTGGAATCTAATCAGATCAAAATGGAAGAGAATAACTGTTTTGGAATATTTAATGTGTTAAGTCTTAAACTACAGAGGATCTCATAACTGCAAATGAAGATTAGCTGCTATGTATATGCCCATTAGAAGAAGAATAGAGTTGCTGGCAGAGATTTGAATTGAGAACATACCATAGGAGAAGAATCTATTCAGTTTAGCTCACTCTCAAAATAGTCCACTTTCAGCATGTGTCGAGTATCATAACAAACAGATGAAGAGAATGATGCTTTTCTTACAGGTTTCAGCACGATCTTGGGATCACAATGAATTTTTTGCTCAGTTTGCTGGTGATCACACACTCTTAAGCTCAGGTTACTCTGTCATCATTGAAAAAATGTCTGAAGGCTTGGATATTCGGTTAAAAGTTCCAGTAAGTATTGAAAAGCTGAAGAGTAACTAGTGTGCTTTACCCTTAGATGACAAAAACGAGTACTGGTGTCTTAATATTACAAGTGCATATTTCATAAGGATGATTTTCTATTCTCTTTTGAAACAAGGTCTGCAGTATTGACTATTCAGGGGAAGAAGTACAGGTAACTGCAACAGATGGAACTTCGTGGACAGCTCAGAAGGTGATGCATTTCTTCCTTCACCTTTATGTTTTATATTTTCAGAAATCAAAGTAAAGGGCTTATCTTGGTCAGAATGACTCATGTAACATATACCCTGTTAAAAGATTGTTTTGATGTTAGCAGGAAGTGACATTAAAGCATTTGATCAGAATAGAGTTATTTGCTTTGATCCTGCTGCCATTTCCTCAAAGCACTGCCCTCTCCCTTGACAGTTCATCCTTCCTTCCATACTACTCTGAATCCTTGACCTATTTTTACATTAAAGTTAAGAATCTGTGGTCTGTGCTGGGACAGCACTGAGAAGGGGCATGTTGAAGCTCTAGACAAGAATATCAGGCTATCATAGGGCAAGAAGCCCTGGAAAGTAAAAATAGCTTTTTCTTAATCTGTCCGTATTTTACATGGAAAAACTGCATGGCATGAAAGGGTACCCTGCAGCTAACACATATTTATTAGGGCATTCAGTTTTCATTGTGGAGCACTTACAATCAGTGGTCTAATTCAGGTCCATGTAATTTCCAAAGGTCACACTTCCTTACCCCTTATTACCCTGCAGCACCTCCAGTCCCTCATGCATCCCTTATGGCAGGGCCGAGGGACTTCAGCTCCCAGAAGCCTCAGCCATGTTGGCCAATAGTCCCATGTTGGCCAATAGCTCCTGGGATTCTGGGAGCTGAAGTCCCTCGGCCCTTAAAGGGGAAAGGTTGCCTACCCCTGCCTTATGGCAACAGTAAGGCAACCCTATCACAGGGTATTCTTGGCAAGATTTGTTCAGAGAGGGTGAGAAACTGTGACTTGCCAATGATCACCCAGAGGTTTCCATGTCTGAGTGGGGATTCAAAATCTAGTCAAACCACTACACAATGCAGCTTCCCTCAGTCCCTCATAGAGCATTAAGAAGGCTTCTTGTGGTGGAGGAGCATTTTCAGTATATTTGGCAGTAATGGGAACATTTTGGTCTTGTTAACTAGTCTTGGATCTGGATTGGATCTAGAGTGCCATATCAGCCTCCTCCCTTCCGGCATTTCTGGAGGCAAGTTGCAGTTCTGTTTCCACACCCCCAGTGAAACTGAATTTAAGAGAGCCAGCATAGTGTAGTGGTTTGAGCATTAGACTATAGCTCTAGAGCCCAGGGTAAGAATCCCTGCTTGGGGAAACCCTTGGACAAGTCACATCTTCTCAGTTTCAGGGCATGGGCAAAGGCAATTCCCTCTGAAAAAATTTTGCCCAAGAAAACCCTGTGACAATTTCACCTTAGGGTCACCATTAGTTGGCGGCGATGTGAAGACACACAACAACAAGTGCTCAATTCTGGTTTTTTTTCTTAAGTATCTCTTGTTGTGTGTTTTCAAGTTATTTTTGACTTATGGCAACCCTAAGGTGAACCTGTCATGAGGTTTTCTGGGGCTGAGAGTGTGTGACTTGCCCAAAGTCACCCAGTGGGTTTCCATGGCTGAGCAGGGAATCTAATCTTGATCTTGATCTCCAGAGTTACTATACTATAATTCCAACAGGTTCCCCCCCCCTTCATTTTCAGGTCTTAGTGGCTGTACCTCTGGCTATTCTTCAGAAAGGTGCCATCCAGTTTAACCCAGCCTTGTCTGAGAGAAAAATGAAAGCTATCAATAGTTTAGGAGCAGGAGTCATTGAAAAGGTGAGAGCTCCTCTTTTATATGGGCACAGGAATAGAAGCAACAGTGAACAACAGTATTCTTCTGAAACTATTGGCAACATCTTCCAGTTAAACTTTGGAACATTTATATTGTATCATGGAAATAGCATGGCTTCTAACTGCAAATAAAGGGAAATACATTTTATTTATAAAGCTAAATTGGAGGTGGATGACTTATGTTCCTCCACATGTTGCTAGTCAGTTCTCAAACCATTTACTACTGATCCCTGGCGAATTTCCAAGAAAGAAAGAAACAATAATGGCCAGTGGGCATAAATATCCCTGTCACCTGGGGAAAAGAGTTGTTGGTTGCATAAGAAGCACTGCTGTAGATCAGTTATCCCAGCAACCTTGCCAGGGTAGCCAGTAGTGTAGCATGCTGGTAGTTGTGATCCAACAGTATCTGGAGGGTTTGTGATTGCCACGTCTGGCCTACTGAGTTCATTGGGGTTTACTGTTTAGTAGATGTGCATAGGATTACAGCCTGAATTAGGAAGGGTATAATTCCTTCCCTTTCTCCTCTAGATTGCACTACAGTTTCCTTACAGATTCTGGGACAGCAAGATTCAAGGAGCTGATTACTTTGGCCATGTTCCACCTAGTTCCAGCAAACGTGGACTCTTCAGTGTTTTCTATGATATGGATCCACAGGTATAGTAAATGGTGCATGAAGACAGACCTTGCTCTTCCTATTTCATTGAGCCTTCCATATGTAAAAAACTGATGAGATTTAAAATTTCACCTTTTGACAATTTTGATTTTTTAAAATTAGTTACTTTGTTATATAATGAACTTGTAAAAACAACAGTTTTTCCAGACACACAATGTATAAATAAATAAATAAATAAATAAATACCATTTAGAAGAGGTATTGCTGATTTTTCCTATTTTATGAATTGTCTAGTATTAGTTTAGGAGAGTTATTGAAAAAAGTAATTTTCCTGGAAATACTGTGACTTGATTTTTGCAGAAATACTATATATAAGACTACCCTTGTTTTTGTCTTATTTGCAGCGTAAATGTAGTGTTCTGATGTCTGTAATTACTGGCGATGCTGTGGCAACTATTAAGAACTTAGATGACAAACAAGTCCTGCAGCAATGCATGACTGTACTCCGTGAGCTGTTTAAGGAACAGGTAGGTCTGTTTTTCTCAAACAAATAAATAGGCTTGGGTGCAATACAAATATTAAACAAGTCTACTATAGGACATATTAGGTCTTTTACATTAAAAGTGAAAACGGTAGCTAGATTTGGACTAAGTAAAAGGAATGAAGCAAGTGAACTTCTGATAGATTTTTGTGAAGCCAACAACCTATTCATTGCAAACACATTTGTCATACAACCAGAGGAAAGGTTATACACATGGACATCAACAGATGGGCAACACAAAAACCAA